CAAGTGCGCCGTAACTCTGAAATTGCCTTTCAAGTAAGCAACTTACTTTTGTCTTACACAGCGCACTGGACTATTTAATCTCCTTTGCTCTTCAAACGGCCCAGGAAGGCCCATGGTATTATTGCCATTTTACAGATGAAGAAGCTGAGGCCCAGAGAGGATCAGTGACTCACCCAAGGTCACAGAGCTGGCAAATGGCAGAGCTGGAATTCAAACCCAGGTTGGTAAATGCCACATCTTACTCTATGTGCACTGTGCTTTGCTGTCTCCATCTCAAACTGAAAAAAAGGAAAGAATCCTGCTTAAAGAAAGAAACTTTATTGTTATGACACTCTAGTATTTGAAGAACTAAGTTGTGGATGTTCACAGTTTACTTTTGAGCTCAGACCACACAGACAGCTGCTTACAACCCTAGGCTGTCAGTTAAAATACACTTCTTTTTATTTCACAGGCCTCTTCTTTTTAGGAACAGGAATAAACACCTATGATTTTCACCATAAGGCTCAGGGCTGTGTGTATTGACTCCACGTGGGGCATCCTTGAGACCTCAGCGACCCCATCTCTAAGATGAGAGGGCTGGGCCTGCCCAACGTGCTCCACGTCCTTTTTCAGCACCAGCAGGCTGTGATGCAAGTGGGTGAAGGGTCCACCGACCTTCAGCTAAGGGACAGGGACAAAACAGGGATGGACGTGACTGGAAACTCAGTTCAGATCCATACTGGCTTCTTGGGAGCAGATGATGGCAGATGTTGGGCTCAAAGCCAGGCCCACGAACACACACAGGACATAGTTCCTGCCCTCAGGGGGTATGGAGTCTAGCGAAGCCTCCCCAGCTGAATAATTGGCAGTTATTGCTCACATGTTTACCTTTTATTGGTGAAATTTCAAGATGTGTTCCTTGCACAATATGAGTGGTTTAAAGAATTTCTACACCTGATTCATTCTTCCTTCTAATCAATGGAGGAAAAAAGACCTAGTTAAATAGGTGCGCAAACATCGAGCAGGTATCTCGTTGCCCAGCAGGTGAGCGCGTTCTGCTGCTAAATGTACGCACCATGGCAGGAGCCCTGAAAAAGCCATCATGTTGCATCCTTGGGAAGTCGCAAAGGGAAGCAACTCGAGAGACTCAAACGATTGGGAAATATGCCTTGGAAGTCCCACACAAGGGTGGTAGGGCCTCTGGTATTTCGGACCGACATGAGTGAGCTGAAGTAGAGACTGATTGGGAGAAGCAGCGCCCACTCGAGGGGGTGCAGGCGGCCTGGAGCACTCGGCAGTTTTGTTTGGAAGAAAAGCCGGTCAAAGCCACAGGGAGTCCTGGCAGGGCCAAAGGAGAGAAAGTTGTTCCCTTGGAGAGAGTGGCATTTTGGAAAACTGAAAATCACTTCAGTAATATTGCATGTGAGAATCTTTGCAACCAAAAAGAAATGTAATAAACCTCTCGGTTTGAAGGCGTCTTCAATATTTTACAAATCACACAATCATCTCTAGCTTTGGGCACAAAGAAAAATCCACATGACAAACCTTACGGAACATTAGCGATATCAAGATAAGCTACATCTGCAGAATACCAATGAAATTATCCTTACCTGCTGCTGGTGTTTTCGAAAATGTGAGGTGGAGGGTCCATTTTTTTCCCTGTTAAAAATGGAAATCGGCGTTTGAGTATTCCATGAAGTTCTTCGGGTTCATTAACAAGGTCAAAATCAATGTTATTTTACTGTTTGGAATCATTTTTGGCGGAACAATGAAAAGAAACCATAGTAGAAGTAGTCTTAATATAATCATTTTCTTTTCATTGTTCTTTATGGGAAAATAATTTGGCCCGAAATTTAGTGGTCCCATCAGGGAGGTGATATCTTTAAAAAGGTGGTCTGAAGGACAGGTTTTACTGTACTTTAATAGGCTTATAGATTAATATAAATCTTAATATTCATAATCTTTACCATTTCTTTTCTCAATATCTGCTCCATCTATACATCTATTTATAATGTATGTTTCAAACATAAGATATACTTGATTTTTATTAAATATACTGATGGTGCTACAGGGACAGCCACTTGACCTAGTTAAAAAAAATAAAAAGAGCAAGGGGGTCAAATTTATGGATAGTCTGCTGCTGAAAACAGATTTTTGCAGATAATGCAATGGCCTGAGAACAGGGCTGTCTTTGCAGTTTTGCCATGTGCTATTCTTTGTGTATGGCCAGGTCAGTAAAATAAATATGCAGATCTCAGGTGCCAAGTGTGAGCTGCAGATGATCTGATGACATGTGGACTCCTCACCTGACAGTTTGATTTTTCTAATCAAAACAGAACGTTTTCAATCTCTCTCTATATATGTTCACAAAAGAAAATCACAGTGATAACTAAAGATAAAATTTGCTTACTGGATAGAGAAGAAAATATGTAGATATGTGATGCTTGCCAAGAATAAAGAAATATATGCTAATTTATTTTTATGTGGTTATTTAAGGGAAACATTATCTGAGTGATTTTGGTTTTATTTTGACTCTGAGATTCCTGGTTTGCCTGTCTGCTTATTACGTTATAAACATTGGAGAAATTAATGAATTGTGTGTGTGTACAAAATTGATATATTATGTAAAAATATGCATATATAGACATCTTTTTTTACTGATTATAAAAGTAATACATCCTCGTTATAGAAAACTTACAAAATATGGGAAAAAAACAATATTACCACCACCCAGAGAGAACCATGTTAACATTTTCTTTCCTCTGTATTGTTTTACATGGTTAAGAGCATCCTGTATGTATAAAATTGAGCATGGCTTTATTAAATTCCATTGTATAATCCTATAATTTACTTTATTACCTATTAATTGAATGTGTGGTTTGTTGGTGTTTTTTTTCTTATTATAAATGTAAAAAAATAAACATCTTTTTACATAAATCTTTGTTGGCGTTTCAAATGACTGCCTGCAGGAGCTAGTGCTAGAGATGGAATTACTGGATTAAATGGAGTGAACATTTTTAAGGCTTTTGATACATATTGCCAAACCACTTTCCACAAAGCTTAGGCCAATTTATAGTGTAAGCTTATTTTAATGAGATTTGATGTATTTTGCACACATTATTGAAACAATGTGGTTTCGGATTTCCAAAGCATTGATCTGTGATTGTAATGAGTTTCTGTTGTGGTTGCTCTGAGGGAGGTGCAAGAAAGTGTGGCAAAGGCCTATTTATCTGCTGTCTGCACGTGCTAGTTGCTCTGGTTAATTCACTTGAATAGTTTTTTTTTAAAAATTAGAAATAGCATTTCATATTTTAAATATTAATCGTAATTGAAAAAAAGAGAGAACTTGAATAATTGTGTATTCAATTTTTTTTTACCCTTATATAAGGGTATAACCTCTTTATATATATAAGGGTATTACCTCTTTACCTTTTTCTGGTAAAGAGAAAAAAACCCCTAGAATTTATTACTAGAAAAATGGGGCTATAAAAGTATTTATGCCCTCTTGCTCACCCAACTCCCAGCTTTATTGGCTTTGAATATTTTGTCCATCAGTACCTCAGTCCTCTCAGCTATTTGGCTGTGTGCGTGATGCTGTCCCTTCTGTTGGCAAGGATGTGGCTTTGTGTCCCCTGATGCCTGTGTGCAGAGGCTGGGCTCTCTGAAAGCAGAGGACAGTCACTGCCTTTGTGATCCCTGCATCCTACACACACTGGGTTGCATCACTGGTTGTCAGATGGAAATGTGTTCTCTGTGCTTGATACTGTTTAAATCCATGGCAACATTTAAACACTGTCAGTTACCCCAAGACGCAACAGTGTGGGTATGCATGCATTGGGCAGTAAAAATAGTGGGCAATCACTTTAAGAAAAAGGAAAGCAAGAAGGCAGAGGAGGCAGGCAGGCCCATTCACATTTAAATGCGAGGCCAAGGATTGTGGGTTGTTTTCCCATGAATCCTCCATTTTCTGCTAGTGTGTAGCTTTCGCCCCGTTCTAAGCTGTGGTTCATGGGTCTTCTTTGCTTTCTGGCTTTCTAATTGGCAACTAAATCCTATTTCTGAGAAGCAAAATAGAGGTTGCAGACGGGTATCTTTCTTCGGGTTGCCTTGGTCAGCTTGAGAATGTCTTTTCAGAGAAAGGAGAAAAGCATGGAAGTTCCTATGCTGAAGAGGAACTGCCTTCTCAGAACTTGGCCCAGCCTTGACCATGGCTGTTAGAGCAGGCTGCTCTTCTCTAGACGGGAGCCCTGCGACAGGCCTGAGGCCTCAGGACTGGGGAGAGGATCTGAAAGGAACCAACTAGCCCTCAGTGAGGCTTGCTTTTGTCCAGACGCTGACTATACAGTACATTAGTAACCTTATTTTATTTGAAATAGATCCTCTCACTATATTTCAAAGTGGTTTACAACTCTGTATAAAATGTAACACCTTTACTGAGCGATGGTAGAATGCAAACAGTAGGAACACAAATATTAATACTACCCTCACAATGCATGCCTTACAAAAGATATTTGCCAAGTTTTGTTACATATAAAAATGTATTTAGCTACCAACTTTACTGTCACTGCGGAAAATTGCACAAACCAATATATGTAAGTGAATAATTTTACATATAGTTAGTGTCTTTTTTGATTAAGAAAGTCTTTTAAAGAACATATTAATTATGCATCTTATGTATCCTATGTGGCTAGAGCAGCTCTGTGAATAGAGACCTGCCAGTTGTTTTGTTAAAATAACAGAGTGCAGCTGTGATTTAAAAAAAAAAAAATGGATGCAGCATATCTGGAAGAGCTATTTTTAAAGTGTGTGTGGGGGGGGCGGGAAATCTGAGTTACTGTTTTATTTTGCAAATGTAAGAGTTTTGGGGAAGAGTGCTGGGCCAGGCAAATGTGCAGGACACAATGGAGTGAAGGTTGTGTATTTACTAAAATGTTTCCCAACCAGGACTTTCCAAGTTAGTGGCAGATAGGAGTGGGAAAGTCGCCCTGGAAACCAAACAGAGGAAGATGCACACCAAAAGAGAGGTTTGTTGGTTTTTGTTTTTGTTTTTTTGCAGTTTAGTTGTAATGAGAACAATCATTGTTTCCCAATGTAAACTTCTCAGGTTTGTAAAACCCCAAGCGACAGCCCCCCACAAAAGATAAAAATGGGACATTTGAAGGACATAGTTTTACAACCAAACCAGAGATTGTTTTTGCCTCTCAGAAACAAAATGGAATGTTATCTGTGCAAGAAAGCACTCTTTGGAAGTATTTTCCCCAAAGCGTGTTGACTTTTCCATGAGTCGATGGGCAAGTCCCAGCTGTGTTCCCAGCTTTGTGGTCCCCTCCAGGCCGCGGGTGGTGGCTTTGAATGGGGCAGCTCCACGAAATCTGCATGAAAATCGGGAATTGTCAAAGTAATTTGCCACTTACTGACTCGCGCTCTATGCCTTTTGTGTTTGGATCAATAAAAACTTAAATCCTTTACCCAGTTTAGTAACAACCTATTCTAAAGCATTATAGGCCCCCTAATCTTTTTTCGAGTTCTGGTTGTACAGTTATCCATTCTCAATGATATTCATTTTAAAAGGTTAACAAACGAGAAACTAAACCAACCATACAAATAACAGCCCAAAGAACACTTTCCAAAATGTGTTGCTGTAGTGCCATTTCAAATTTAATATTCATGCAGAGGAAAGCTAAAGGCCACCAAACCAGGTGGATAAAATAGTACTGCACTTTATGACTCATTCTTAAATGAAATCTCTTAAATATTGCTAATGAAGCCGGCTCCCCACCCCCCGCAGCCTTGGCGGGCGCCCTTTCGAGCAGCTCCAGCTCCATTTCCCTGTCTAGCAATTTGCCCCAGGCCCCCATTAAATGAATTATCACGGCCCCTAAATCATCTCTGCGGGGGTTTCCTCTAATCCCATCAAGACACTTACACTCCCTTTCTTCCCTCCCGGTGACATAATGAATTATTATTTCACGGGGAGCAGTTAAAGCGGCCCCTTTGGAAGAGGGGAATGCGCGCGGGCCGGGCCAGCCGGAGGGCCCCTGCGCCGCCTCGGGCCGCGGTCCGGCGGGGACAAAGAGGCCACCGGGCCACCAACTGCCCTCCCGCCGCGCGAGGTGGGGTCTCCGCCACCCGCTCCGCGTCCCCTGCGCGCCCGGCCCGGCGGCTGCTCTGGGAGCCCAGGATCGCGGGGCAAAGAGAGGGAATATAAATGTTTTCCTTAACGAGAGGAAACACTGCACTCACAAACCACTTGCGGAATAGATTAAGCTAATTTATTAAACACAGTTTGCCTGGTGACTGAGCTGAGCTGAGTAATGATTTACAATTAAAAAAAAAATTTAATAAGAGAAAGTCAGGGGCCACCGTGGCCCTAACCATGGGCCACGGCGACCCGAGGGGGCTGGAGAGGGTGTCCCCGCGCCTGGGTTTGGGACCCAGGGTGGCTTGGGGACTGTGGCCCTGGCGAAGGGGAGGTGACATCAACGGGGAGACAGCTGGGCCTGGCAGGGGTGGGGACCTACTTCCCTGGCACTCAGATGGGACGACCCTCTCCCGCAGAGTAGGAATGGTTGGTTTGTTTTTTGTTTGTCTGTTTTCTTCGTGTACATGTTGCTTCTGAGTGCTCAGACCACCCTCCACCTACCAGTGTTGGATCTTCTTTTGAGAGTGCAGTAACCTAAGATAGTTTCCAGGAGATCGTGAAACCTTTATAGAGGACGCGTCTGTCATGAGCAGGGAGTCTCAACAGTGTTCAGTGCCAGCAACTGTGTTTTCGTAATAAATACTTTGTAATATCTCCTTTATTATGATGGCTCCCCAGCACATAGGACAGGCTCACGTGCTTTTATTATTCTAAATGAAAATCTTGGATAGTATATCCTACCCAAACACGTTATTTAAAAGATGCAAGAAAAAGAAAAGATAGAAAGAAGCAAGAAAGAAAGGAAGAAAGGGAAAGAAAAAAAGGCAAAACATTATGACCTAATCGTAAAGGATAAAAACCAAAAAGGTGTAATAAAATATATATTTCAATGGGTACATTCTCCATCATGGCAACCAAAGAATGAAGTAATCAAATGCTTGCACCACTTTATAACAAATACATCTTGATTTAATTGGAAACTATTCAACTGATTGTTGTTGACTCTTTTTCTTTATAATTGACGTTTTGAAATGAGGGCTAAATAAGTATATTTACTCATCTATGTAGAATCATCCAAATGTGACAGCTATGCTTTCAGACTGTCAGGGTAGATGGGGAACTCAAAACCCAGGGGCTACATTGCATTGTTGTCCACGTGGTTTCCCCATATAGGGGGTGAGAACTCGTGGATGAAGTTCTAGACAAAGCAGCACACATAGTGGCTGTATTACAGGAAAATTCAATGTACGTTAAAACTGGGTAAATGTACTTTGTGTTCATATGAAAAATGGAGCTAGAGATAATTACCATGGGCTTTTTCATCTACCTGAATATGTGATGGGACATTTGGAAGTGTTCTGAGGGACCTGTGACAACTCTATGGCGCCGATGCACTGCCTTCTTGGGGCTGGTACTACTGCCTTTGAAACTCACTTGTCTAGAGCCTTGGTTCTTAAATTCCTTCAATTATTATTCCATGGTGAGCAGAACATTTTACATATGACATCAGAGGGTTTGCAGGCCTCTTGGAACCCATTCACAGACCCAGCATTGAATCCTTATATTCTGGGTTAGAAATCCTTAGACTAAAGCTAGAACTGACAGCTTAGAATCATAGAGTTGGAAAGAACTTTGCCTAGATGCTCTGAGAGAGTTTCTGGTCTGCAGCTTATCAAAGTTTTGAATACTATATTTGAGTTTGGGGTTTATTTGGGTAGTGCAGGGGATTAGTCACCCTCCTTGTTCTGGGAGTGGAACCCAAAATTACGTTAGCCTTTAAGGCAGCTCTAACACTGTTTACTTCTGCTCAACTTGTGGTCAGTACAAACCCTAAATCTATTCTACTTGTTCTTGTTAAGATGTGTGACCTCTGTACTTAGGCAGTTAATTTTTTGTATCTAAATGTAGGGCTTTACACTAACACATGCTGAATGCTTTCTGGTTGAAGCTGACTCTTTATTCCAGCCTTGTCTAGATGTTTCTGTGTACCAATTTTGTCTTCAAATTCATAAACTTTGCCTTCTAGTTCTGTGTTATCCACATGTCAAAATATTAGAATTAATTATTATGAAAAAAACTGTGAAGCCTCTTTTGCCAATGCATCATTAATAATAACACCGTAGGAATATGTTATCTTTTTCCAGTGTGTGCAAGAACAGCCCTGTTATTTAAGTGCATCCATGAGTACATATTTAGAGCTGAGGAATAAGGTAGTCACCCTTAAAATATTGTGTGTTTCCACTTCTTTTCTTTTCTGTTGTTAGAAAAATTTGACTTTTATTTTAAAAGTCTTTCAGAAGATTGGCATTCCCCATGCAACTCAATGCTGAGATTTCGTTACTTCTAAAAATTATATTGTACCAAATTAAAATAATTTTTAAAAGACAGACCTTTCCTGCAACTCTACCATTCTAACAAAATTGTTTTCATTTTTTCATGCCCCCTTCCACAGCTTCCAGTTTTTGTCTAGACTTTTCCATATTGCATGACCTATTTTCTACATTTCCTTCTAGTTCCCTGTTAGAAATGGGTGTTAGCCTTTTTACTCTTAGGCAAATAAAAGAGAACTAAAACAGGCAACAGATGATCTTCCGCACAGCTTTGCCTAAGAGGGCTAACAAGCTAGATATTTTTGTAGGCCCTTTAAAAAATTATCACTATGGGAGTGAGGTAGACTTGTCATATTCATTTCGCAGCTCACTTTCTAACAATCATCATACAACTATATAAGTCAGAAATGAAAGGGACAACAGGTTCTTGAGCTGCTGATTTAGAAAGTCCTTGAGTTGTGATTTGGAGCACTTTGGTTTGGGGTCCCAAGTCTGAAGTCAGGGCAGGGTAAGGGGGTGGGAGAAGGTTGAGAGAGGGCATCTTCATTCATATTTGGTTTTGGAGGGTGTGGGGCCCAGTGTGCTGGGATGGTTGGGGAAATCACCTCCTCATTTGAAGTTTTTCACATTTCTTCCTCTCCAAGTGGAGCGGCTATAGCCTGGAGATGCTTGTCCACACCCTGAGGAGGCCTAAGCTAAAGTTCAATTTACAACTGATACCTGCGTTTCTGTCCTCTTATGCTGAATATTGTATAGAACATCTTCACCAAGAATAATCCTTATCATTTAGAAAATGGACAATAATGGTAGCTATCATTTACTGGGCATCTAGTATATGCCAGGCAATGTACACTTACTTATTATGCTTTACAACAATCTTACAAGATAGGAATCATTATGTCATTTTCACAGTCCAAGGTCATTTCACTATATAATATTCTGTGTCTGTTTGAGAATGAATAAATTTGAGTAATATAAAGTGACATTGCAAGATCCCAAGTTTTTTCTTGCGTTTAAGAAGACAACAGAAGGTGAGCCGAGAAACCTGGGGCTGTTCCAAAGCAGGAAGGATGGCGTGACTGCTCCCCCAGACTTCTCCCTGGATAAAGCACAGGATGTTCTTGGAGCAAGCGAAGGGCAGAGACTTGGAAACTTAGCAACAGGGAATGATCCTAAAACAATGAAGCCTAAGAGACAGGGCTGGCATATTTTCAGGATGTAAAATGTCAGACTCTGAATATTTAAGTTGTAGCACAGAATCTGTCACCAACCTGCAGGGAGACTGCAAATCAGTTACTGAAGTAAATCCCTCCAGCCTTAGGCTGCATCGATGTTTGATGAATAAATACATGATGATTCTTCAGAGTTGCTAAGAATTCCTTATAAGAGAGGAACAAGGAAAACCTGGCCTTGTTTAGCATATGCAATGCTTTTCAGTCTTTGAATGGAAACAGTCAAGTCATAAAATGTAATTCTGTTTTTTCTCTCCATTTAAGTTTTTGACAAAGAGTTATTCTTGTCAAGCTCAAAAATCATTCTGGGGAATGTCAAGTAGGATATAGGGCAACCCTGTTCCACACTTGAAGAAATGGTCAGTTTTTAAATGTTCTCTGTTCTTGAAAAAAAAAAATTGTCCACAGTCTTTTTGAGGGTGGCCTTACCCATAATCTGAGTGTCTGCCTCAGACAGCTCTAATCCCGGGAACACATGACTAACACAGGCCACGTTGTTGCTGTGTCCACTGCAAACACCAAGGTCTTCCTGAGTGAAAATCCATCCCAGACTTTATGGAATTATCAGGTCTTCTCAGTTCTAGATGGCAGGAACTGCTGTCTTTGTTCTGGCATGCAGTGACATCAGGGCTCCAGGACAAATAGGGCCCTGATTCATCTGATCCTCAGAAACCCTATTCAAGGGGATCTGAGGATCCAAAATGTTTTTTTCTAGCAAGCTAGGTCAGTATGCTTGGTCCTGCCATCCATGCAAAAAAAAAAGACTATGGATCTGGTCACAAAACCCAGGACATTTCAATGTCCTGATGATTTATTACCAGGGCAAATAGAAATATCGCAGACCACAATATCATTTATCATGTAATTACATATCTTTCTGGAAGATAACATGCACGACCACAGAAGCGATTTAGAGCCACCCTGGCTTTTGCTCTGGGCCTCAGTTTCCTTGCTTGCAGTGGGAGAGGTTTGGGCAGGATGGTCTCTGGATCTTGCAGGGCCCTTCAGCCCCCAACCTTCAGGAGTCTGTGGACACACAGGCAGGTGAAGTTCTCACACAGAAGCGGCCTTGCAGGCTATGGTTTCATTGGTACCACCTCCTGTCTGTGCCACACACTACTCAACCTCCCCAAGCCTCAGTGTCCTCACTGGTAAAAATGGAAATGAAGACAGCACCAACTTGGTAGGACTATTGCTCTGATAATTAATGTAATGCAGGTAGACCTCAGAGAAGGAAATCTCAGAAGGCGCTCAATTTACACGAGCTATTATGATGACTAGTATGATATACCATTGTAATAGCTTCTTTTTGCTTATTTTCCTCTTGCTCCCTATCTCTCCTTCTTTGTCACCACACACTGTCTATCACTTATGT